AGGAGGCAGAGGTTGCAGTGAGCTGGGATCGAGCCACTGCACTCCAGCCTGGCAACAGAGTGAGACTCCATCTCAAAAGGAAAATAAAGTGAGTTAATATATTAAACTGGAACAGCCTGGCAAAAATAAGTAAATATTAAGAATGTTCACTCATTTGAGCTATTCTCTTTTTGATTCTTTCACCAACATGATACCCTCTAAACCTCATTTTTGTTAACATAAGTGAAGTGCTTTTTTTCTTTTCCTTTTTTTTTTGAGATGAAGTCTTGCTCTGTTGCCCAGGCTGGAGTGCGGTGGCACAATCTCAGCTTACTGCCATCTCCAGGGTTCAAGAACTTCTCCTACCTCAGCCTCCTGTGTATTCCTCAGCTGGGAATACAGGTGTGCACCACGCCACCCAGCTAATTTTTGTATTTTTAGTAGAGATGGGTTTCTCCATGTTGACCAGGATGGTCTCGATGTCTTGACCTCATGATCCACCCGCCTCTTCCTTCCAAAGTGCTGGGATTACAGGCGTGAGCCACTGCACCTGGCCTATTTTCCTCATTTTACAAAGGAAGAAAATGGGGTAGGGAGATGTTTTATGGCAACCAATTGTCCTGGTTTGCCTGGGACTCAGAAATTTCTTAGAATGTAGTACTTTTTCTTTTCTTTTTTCTTTTTGAGACGGAGTTTCGCTCTTGTTACCCAGGTTGGAGTGCAATGGCGCGATCTCGGCTCACTGCAACCTCCGCCTCCTGGGTTCGGGCAATTCTCCTGCCTCAGCCTCCTGAGTACCTGGGATTACAGGCACGCGCCACCATGCCCAGCTAATTTTTTGTATTTTTAGTAGAAACGGGGTTTCACCATGTTGACCAGGATATTCTCGATCTCTTGACCTTGTGATCCACCCGCCTCAGCCTCCCAAAGTGCTGGGATCACAGGTGTGAGCCACCACGCCCGGCTCTTTTTTTTTTTTTTTGAGGTGAGTCTCGCTCTGTCACCCAGGCTAGAGTGTAGTGATGCAATCTCAGCTCAATGCAACCTCGGCCTTTGGGTTTGAGCAATTCTCCTGCCTCAGCCTCCTGAGCAGCTAGGACTACAGGCACATACCACTGTGCCCAGTTAATTTTCTGTATTTTCAGTATAGACGGGGTTACACCACATTGACCAGGCTGGTCTAGAACTCCTGACCTCAGGTGATCCCCCCCACCTTGGCCTCCCAAAGTGCTGGGCTTCCAGGTGTGAGCTACAGCAATAATGTTATACTTTTAATGCTGAAATCAGGACAGTGCCAGGCAAACATGGACAACTGGTCAACCTAGCTGTTCAGTTACTCACTTGCCCTAAACTGCAGTTATAAGTGGCAGAGCTTGTATTCAGATCCAGGTGGGCTGACTTCAGACTCAAATGGTTTACTTTGGCCATTGGTTCTCAATCTCGAGCATGCAGCAGAGGTCCTGGAGGCCTTATTAAAACTCAGCCCCATCTTCAAGGTCTCCAATTCAGTAGGTTGGGGTGGCCCAGAATTTGCCTAACAAGCTGGCTGGTGATGCTGATGCTGCTGGTTTGGGAACCAACTTAGAAGACCCCTGTATTCGGCTTTCTCACCCTCAGATAAGAACTTTTTTTTTTTTTACAGTCCAGAGGTCTTTTATTTTTCTTTTTTAACACCTATTATGCCATGAATTCACAGGGAATAGGTTCCAGCAGCTCAGGCTCCTTCCCATTGGTTCTCACAAAGTGTGCTTCTCTGGGTGGAGCAGGCTGTCATACTGCTGGACCCAGGTACCTTTCTCTTTGGCTTCCTTCTTTTTCTGATTATTTTCCTTCACATGTTTTAGGAAGCTATCTCGGCTCTTAAGGATGCTTGATGTGTTCAATACGCACATTAATTCTCTTGGCAAGAATCTTGCCCTTAACTTGTTTGTTTACAACAATGCCAACAGCATGCTGGGTAACACTGTAGACTCCTCCAGTTTTGCCATGATAACATTTGTGGGGCATTCCTTTTTGAACGGTACCCATTCCCTTGACGTCTACAATATCACCTTTCTTATAGATTCGCATATACGTGGCCAAAGGAACAGCTCCATGTTTTCTAAAAGGCCTGGAGAACATGTATGGAGTGCCTCTCCTCTTTCCCTTCGTGTTCGTCATTTTGGCGAATTACTAGAAGATGGGGGATCCCGCCGAAAGGCGATAAGGACTTTTTAACTTTTATTTTGTGAGACAAGCTCTCTCTCACTCAGTCTGAAATACAGCCTAGGATCATGGCTCACTGCAACCTCAAACCCTTGGGCTCAAGTAATCCCCAGCCTCAGCAATACAAATAAACATATTAGAGGCCAGGTGTGGTGGTTGACGCCTGTAATCCTAGCACTTTGGGAGGCTGAGGGCCGCTGGTTGCTCATTTTTATGGTTATTTCTTGATGCTAGGCTTACACAAGGGCTGGATTATTCATGCCTTCCCTTTTTAGACCATACAGGGTAACTTGCTGTTGTTGCCATGGCATTTGTAAGCTGTCATGGTGCTGGGGGGAGTGTACCAGTGAGGACGACCAGAAGTCATTCTCATCACCATCTTGGTTTTGGTGGGTTTGGGGAGACTTCTTTACTGCAACCTATTTTATCAGCAAGGTCTTTATGACCTGTGTCTTGTGCCGACCTCCTATCTCATCCTGAGACTTAGAATGTCTTCACCATCTGGGAATGCAGCCCAGGAGGTCTCAGCCTATTTTACCCCACTCAAGATGGAGTTGCTCTGGTTTACTCGCCTCTGACGGGCGCTAAACACAGGTGGGGCCTTTCAAAGAAGTAGCTCCAATGCCCACTGCCCACCCCCCGACTCCCCTAATAGATGTAGGGCACCATGGACTTTTACAGACTGAGGGACATACTCTAAGAGTTTACCCTTTCAAGGAAAAATAAGTTCCCCAGATGAAACTCCACACATACAGGCACATTGTAAGTCAGTTGTAAGTTTCCAGAACTCACTACAGGCATCCCCTCTGAGGTGCAGCCTTTCTGCATCACAATAATCACGATTCCTTTGCCAAGACCTTTTGATGTTATGGTCTGTGTTTTTCTCCTGATGGCTGGGCATGCGAAGGCGGAGGCAGAGGAGAGCCTGGCAGAGTGAATGACAAACGCAAGGGAGGCTGGCTGCAGGGGAGAGGGAGTAAGGGCGGCCCGGGGTCAGCCCTGCGGAAACCGCGGAAGGAGATGAGTCAGCGAAGCGGCGGCAGCTGCAGGGGAGGCCCGGGACTCCCCAGCTTCCCAGCCTCTCGCACCCCACGTGGATCCCTGCCCCGAAGCTGATTCAGGGAGCCAAAGCTTCGGGCAGGGCGGACCGCGGCGGGACTGAAGGCGCCCCCGTTTCTCTGCGTGTGGCCTGCGGACTCCCTCGGGAGCAGGTCGTTCAGCAACGGGTATCTGCCGCGGCCCCCAAAGACAACTGCGCTCGCCCCACTCACGATGGCGCGTCCGGTCCCCAACCAGGCGTGGGGCGGGATGGGAGGGTCTCGGTCCGGCCGCCCTGCCCGTGCTGCCTCCACCCGGCCACCCACCTCCCGCGGCCAAGCGCAGCGCCGCATCTCCGGTGCGGCCGCGGCCCCAGCCGAGGAGGGCCACGGGTCCGGGAGGAGGAGGCGCGGCTACTGGCTGACCCGGGGACCAGACTGAGCTGGAAAGCGGTCAGGAAGGCCTGGCCCTCGCAGGTGACCTTGCGCCAATGCCCGGGGTGGGCCTCAGCGCCTTCGAGGAGTTAGAGAGGGCCAGGGGCATTGGTGTGATCGCCCCGTGTAGGTCCTCACTGAGCCAGGATGCAGGACAACCACATGCACCTGCTTAGACAGGCAAAGCCCTGGGAAGCCATGGGAGCGGGAAGGACTGGGCTGGCGCGGGGGCGGGGGGGGGGTGCGCACGGTAACCCCAGCACTTTGGGAGACCCAGGCGGGCAGACTGCCTGAGCCCAGGAGTCGGAGACCAGCCTGGGCAACATGGTGCAACCCCGTCTCTACAAAAACCACAAAAATTAACAGGGCATGGTGGTGCGGAGTTGTGGTTCCAGCTACTTGGGAGGCTGAGGCCCGAGGATCCCCTGAGCCTGGGAGTTCAAGGCTGCAGTGAACCCTGACTACATCCCCACATTCCAGCGTGGGCGACAGAGCGAGACCCTGTCTCAGAGAAAAAAAAAAAACAAAAACAAAAAAACGCCAGGTACGGTGGCTCATGACTGTAATCCCAGTACATTGGGAGGCTGAGGCCAGCAGATTATGAGGTCAGAAGATTGAGACCATCCTGGCTAACAGGGTCAAACCCCATCTCTACTAAAAAATTAGCCCGGCGTGGTGGCAAGTGCCTGCAGTCCCAGCTACTCAGGAGGCTGAGGCAGGAGAATCTCTTGAACCTGGGAGGTTGCAATGAGCCAAGATCCTGCCACTGCGCTCCAGCTTGGGTGACAGAGCAAGACTCTGTCTTTAAAAAGCCAGACTCACTGGATTAGACTCCCAGCTGTGTGATCTTGTGCAAGTGACTCCTTCTCTCTGTGCCTTCATTTCTTTAGCTGTAAACTAGGGTAGTGATAAGGCCTTGTGGATGAGGAATGTCAGGATGTGAGTTAGTAGGTGTCAAATGTCTATTAAGTGCCTGACACAGGTACCCACCCACTGTGACGTTTGCGGAGCTCGATGAGGGAGCCGGGAAGCCCAGATTCTGAGCACCGTGGCAATGACACTCCACCAGTGGGATCAAGACACACGTGTGATCTCCCAGACGTTCAAAGCAGCTTCGATTAATACCCTGCCTGCCTGGGACCCAGCCATGAGAACTGCCCCTCACTGAGGCAAAATTGGTCTCCCTCTTCCTGGGGAGCCCCAAAACTTCCAGAGACTGTCCTGCACTATGAGGGCAACCAGGAAAGGGAATTGGTGGGTGGAGGCCTCAGGCCCCCTCTGGTCTCTCCAGGGTTTCCTGGGTTATCTGAACTCCCCTTTGAAACGAGCATGAGCAGGTTCAGCTGATTCATAACTTAGTTTAATGCCCTGTGGGGTTCATGCCACAGGGAAGCTCCACTGCCCCAGAGGGTCTGTGCCAGGTGGAAGAAAGCAGTCTCTTTGGACCACTGGCCAGGACTTCTGCTTCGGTGCCTCATTGAAGCCCATCTTCCCGATCAAAAGCAGCGAAGGGCACCAGCTTCTAACCTTCACTCCCTGTCCCTCACTGGCCTCCCTGCCTCTCTCTGCCCAACTTCCGGCACTGTGCAAGGTCTGAGACCTCTTTGGACCTGAGGCATGTGGCCTTAGCCTGGCCCTTGTTCCAGACAGGTGGGCAGACAAATAAGCAGAGCCAGTGCACCCAGGGTAGGCGAGGGAGCCATGCAGCCAGGCCTCAGGGTTCTAAGCCCCACCGGGAGATGTGCTCCTGAGCTAGAAAGAAGCAGAAGAGAGCGGGCTCAGTGGCAGCCCAGTGAGTCCCAAGATGGGGGCCTGCAGCACTCGGTCTGGAAGTGCCCATGGCTGTGGTCCCCGTGGTGCTCCAGAGCTTCCTAGCAGGGGCTGCAGGGAGCTGGTACTGTGCCAGGTTTCACCTCTGCCTCCACCGTAGTTCACAGGGCTCCCAGGAACCAAGAGGTTCCCAGGCAGCAGCTTTCATGACAGGGGGAGAGGGTCCTTGGAGGAATCCCTTGCAGAGCTGCAGCTCTAGTCCTGCCTGCATGGCCTTGCTGCGTGGTACTGAGCCCTTCTTTGCCCCTCTGGGCTCAGGAGGCCACAGGTACAAGGCCCTGAGCAGGCCATCTCCCATGGTCCTGTGTGCCCAGAGCCACTTGGAACCTGCCACCTAGATACCCTTGCAGGCTGGATCAGGCCAGCAATACCCCCAGGGACAGGGATCAGAGAAGGGGAGCCTCAGGAAGACCCTCACCGAACTGGCAGATGTAACGGTTTCGGGTTTTGCAGCGCTGGTCGTTCCAGTTGAAGGCAGCTGACGCCTGCAGCTCCACGCAGTTGCCAAACCTGCAGGCAAGGGAGCGGTGCTCAGGAGGGAGGACTGTAGTCCAGGGTCCAGGAGAGGCCTCAGCCCTCCACCCATCAGGCCCCCCGCATCTCAGAGGCCACGGTGACCCCACGTGCAGATGGGGCTGCTGGGAGAAAGGCCCTCCCTGATCCCCTATCCCTGCTCCCCAAACCACTTCTCAGAGAAGCCTTTTCTGGAGTAACAGCTCCGCCTACCCCATGGCAGCACACAGCCACACCAGCCGATGGGGACGTGGGGACTTGAATAGACAGCCCCACGTGAGAGGTGTACCTGGTCCTCACTGAGCCAGGACGCAGGACAACCACATGCACCTGCTTAGACAGGCAAAGTCCTGGGAAGCCATGGGAGCAGGAAGGACTGGGCTGGCGCAGGGGCGGGGGGTGTGCACACGGTAACCCCAGCACTTTGGGAGACCCAGGCGGGCAGATTGCCTGAGCCCAGGAGTCGGAGACCAGCCTGGGCAACATGGTGCAACCCCGTCTCTACAAAAACCACAAAAATTAGCAGGGCGTGGTGGTGCGGAGTTGTGGTTCCAGCTACTTGGGAGGCTGAGGCTGGAGGATCCCCTGAGCCTGGACTTCCCCAAGAAGGCCCAGACTTCCTCCAACAAGGCCCGGACTTCCTCCAGACGACAGACCAGGGGCACAGGCTGGCTGCCAGCAAGGAGGGCTGGCTGAAATCGCTGGAGCCCTTGGTGGCTTTGCAGCCAGACCACCTCCAACCCAGCCCTGGGCATTCCTGGGCTTTGAGAGCAGGGCAGGGTCCCATGAGCAGAGGGTTCTTGGTACCACATGGCTGGAGGGTCAGCAGGTGTGGGGTTGTGTTGTGAATGAGTGCAGGGGGGTGACAGCTAAGGAATGCTGGTGTCATTGTAACTGATGCAGGCAGAGGGTGGGGACATTGAGGGAGGGGTGAGTAGGTGACAGTTGGAGGGATGGAGTCACAGCCAGGGGACACTGGGGACAGACGGATGGAGACTTCCTGGGTCCCTCTCTCCCACATGACCTGCCTTCTGGCTTACATCTCCCTCACCCCAGCGCCAGCCGACATCAGCTGTGCCCAGGTCTCTCTGGCACCTAGTCAGGCACCAGGGAAGGCCCAGACCCTCAGAGGGCCCAGCCAGGCAGCGGGATGGGGGGCTCTTCAGTGTCGCCAGGGGCCCCACCACGCAGCCCAAGTGAGAAGGGGGCCCAGGGGAGGCAGGCACCCCACACTTACCCCTGGTTGTCAGGCTGCCCAAAGGCAAAACTGGTGAAGGCCTGGTGCTCCCCTGTGGCCCAGTGGAAGGAGTCCTTGGCAGTCTTGTAGGTGAGCCCTGGGCCAGGGTAGTTGAGGTTGGCCCATGACCTGAGGTCCCTCAGTCCACTCAGAGCCTGGAGTCTGCTGCCAGTTGCCTCTCTAGCCCCTCTTCCCAGCACTGCCAGCCCCCATATGCTCCCCACCTGGGGCCTCCCTGGGAATGAAGGTGAGCAGCCAACCCCTCTCTGGGCTCCAGGCCATCACCATGCCCTTGCCCCTCACCATCTGCTGACAGCTGCCATGGCCCCAGGTTCCTGCAGCAGGGTGGGGCATCGTGACCCCTTATTTGCAGCACCCCCGTCACCTGGGCACTCACCGATCCAGAAGTTCCTGGTCTCGAAGTCGCTATTGGTCACGTTGATGATGGTCTCCAGGCGGCCCAGGTAGAAGGCGAGGATGTCCTGCACTTTCTGGCTCTTGATCTGGGCCAGCACCCCACCTTTTCTCTGCAATCCCCACCCGAATCACATAGGCTGGGCTCCCAGAACCCAAGCTGCCCCTTCCTGCCACCCCTGCCCATGCCGCCGATGCCATGTGTGGGTGCTGGCCAGGCTGCCATCACCCCCAGGATGCACAGCCCCCCTTCCAAGAGCAGGGTCCCTTCTGCTCCCTGGCGCTGCTGCTTCTCTTCTTCCTGTGCACACGGACCCATCTGGCAGCCCACAGGTCAAGCAGGGTCTGGCCCCTGAGGAGGTTCTGTTTCACCTGCACAGTGTCTTAAATATATCCAGGTTGATTGCCAACCCCAATAATTAATTGTGGTTTTGAGGATTGCCAGTGGAAGTCTGGGTTGCCGGTTTTTTTCAGCAACCCCGAGCTGTGACCACCCTGACCTTGCATTCCTGCAAGGCAACCAGTGGCTGGAACTCCCTTAGATGGAGGTTGGCCTTGACCTTGGCCCCTCAGGTCAATAAGTGACCTCCTGGCTTCTATGAGCCTCAGAGTCCATGGCCCCTATTTGTGCTGATGATGAGGGTGAGGTCAGAGATGTTGAAAGGACCATCTCTCACTCCAGGGTCCCTCCATTAAGACCCTCACTTGAGGCCCTCAGGGGGTCCCTGGGAAGGTAGGGTGACCATCACCTGGCATTTCATCCTGGCTCTGTAATAGGTGTCTGCCTCTGAAGACACCATGAAGCAGTCTCCGTCGATCCTCAGGTCACAGGTGTGGAAGGGGAAATGCACCTTGGCTGGGGTATGGAGCCTGAGTTTGTGTGTGAACTTCAGAATCCCTGCCCTTTCCTGCCCTGCTGGGAAGCTAAGCTCAGAGTGCCCCTTCTTTTGGCCACCTGCTCCAAAAGAGTGGGTGGTGAGAGTCAGGAATGTGCTGGTAAATGTGGAACACTGAGCTCTCTCTCTCAAAAGAAAAAAAAAGTACATGGTTTATAGCATTTGCCAATTTCTTTGCTGTAAATATCCACGCTGTGGCTAGTTTCAACCTCCCAATGTGTTGTCACTGAGTGAGTTGGAAACAGAGGCACACAATGGGGCTCCTGGGAGCTGATGCCACATTAAAGGGGGTCTTGGGAGGGGCTAGCTTTTCGGGGGCCCTGGGGCAGGACTCACTGGCACACTGGGCTCCCGTGTAGCCGATGTCACAGACGCACAAGCACTTCTCCTCCCGGAACCGGCCGTGCACACACTGCAGGCTGCACCGCACTGCCAGGGCAGGACAGGGGGCAGAGGCTCAGCCCCCAGCCTCCCAGACCCCACACTGCCCTCCACAGGCCTCGAACTTCAGGGAATGGCAGCCACAGCAAGAATAACCCTCCCAGAGGCAGAACCCAGCAAGGCTTCTGATTGCTGTCATCCCTGGTATCTTTAGTTTGATCCCCATTGTAGAGTGACACAAATTGGGGTTTGGGAGGTGACCTGCCCATGGTCACAGAGTGGGTTAGGGTGGAGGGCAGTGGCACAAGAATCCACTTCTGGATCCTAATTCTGTCCTCCTCCTCAGTCTAAGCATCTGAACCTGATTTCACTGTGAATCTCCTGCACAGCTCCGGGTCTGGCAAACAGCTAGTGCTCAGTGAAGGCTTGTTGAATGAATATATGCAGTGGGCAGACTCAGTGATTGCATGGTCAGCACCTCTACACCCTTGAGACTCTCAGGAAGTGTGGCAGCCCGAGGACCCAGAGTGAGAGCAGGGCTGGGCACACCCAGGCTCCAGTGCCCTCCTCACCTTGGCAGTATCTGCCCGTGTAGCCAGGGGGACAGTGGCAGTGGCAGGTGCTGATGTTAAGACGTCCGTGGTTCCAGCAGCTCATACGACATGGGTTCCTGGGGACCTCTGGTCAGAGGAGGAGGGGACTGCAAGAAGGTTTCCTCCCAGCAGGAGCCTCCCTGGGTGCTAAGGGCCAGGGCTTCTGGGACAACCAGCTAGGATGCTGTCACCCACCCAGGGTCACCAGACCGGGCCCTCAAGCACTCACCACAGAGGCCCCCTGCGTGGTCCCAGGCTTTGAAGCAGCCCGAGACGCTGGCCGTGCAGAGCGAACACCAGGCGCCCTTCTTATATGGGACTATTGTCTTGCCGTTGACCTCCCAGTTCCCTCTGTGAGGATGAGCAAGCACCACAGGGTGTGGGAGGGCCTGGCCTTGGGCAAGGCAGTGGCAGGCCCTGCTGCCTGACCCTCTTGCTCCTTCAGCTCCTATGGCCCAGCCAGAAAGTCAGCGAGCTGGGTGAGATAGGGTGATTCCCTGGGAGAGAAGAGATGATCTCCAAAAGAATCCTGGGCAAACTCCCTGATACCGGGACCAGCATCCAGGAAGAGGCATCCGCAGATCAGCACCTTCTACGTGGCCAGAATCTTTAGCACCCTCTGCCTTTCCTCTCCTCCCCTCTCCCAGCAAGTGTGCAGAGCAAGGTATCAGGTGGGTGGGTAAGCATCTCACCCTGGGTGAAAGCATCCCTCCTCACCTCCCAGACAGCCCATCAGGGAATAGCAGGGCTTACCCAGGAGAGTAGGCACAAACAAAGGCTTCCATCACTGCTTGGCCTGCAGAGCACAGGTGCTGCCCACAGCCCAGCTGGCTCGAGGTGGCCCACACGAGCTACAGGAGACACAGGAGCTCAGAAACCCTATCATTGACTACCCCTGGGGAGGGGTACACAGCTTTTGTCATCATCCAGGCAGACAGAAGGCTCCCTCACCTCCTCAGGGGCTCAGGACCAGCAGCTGTCCTGGGCAGGGCTAGAAGCATGGGTGGGAATAGTTCAGAAAGGCTTTCTTAGTTGAGAGGGGGATGGAGAAGGAAGGACTAGCAGGTATCTGAAGGCAGGGGAGACTGCTGATGAGTGGAGGGGAGTAGCCAAAAAAAGACTGGGACCTCAAGGGCCTTGTAACTGCATGACGACTACAACCCTTCACTTCTTGCTCTAGCCTACCCTTTTAAATGTGACTGCAGGTTTTGCAGCAAGGAGAGGTGTCTCTTTCCCTACTTCTTGAATCTAGCTGGTCCTGCGACTGGTGTTGGCCACCAGAATGCAGCAGAAGTGATCCTGAGCCGATTTTGAACGTAGGCCTTTAGAGACCTTGCAATTTCCACTCATTCTCATAGAACCATGCTCAGCCAACCACAGGAACAAGCTCAGTATAGCCTGCTGCAGGTTGAAAGGCCTCATGGGGCAGAGATGAACCATTAGAGGCCTTTTTGCACAGCCAGCTCCCAGCCGGCTCCCTAATTGATTGCGGGTGCATGAGTGGACCTAGCCAAGTCCGGAAAACCTCCCTCCTGAGCCCAACCCAAGAGGTTGACCTGCAGAATCATAAGCTGCTAAATTTTGGGGTAGTATATCACGCAGCAAAAGCTAATGGATACAGGTCTGCAAACCAGTTTAAAGTCTTAGAATCCGTGACAACTTCTAAATAGCACAAATGGTCAATATACAGGAAGAGTGAAAAAAACTCTCCAGTAGCAACTAAAAATGGCATGTACAAGACTGGCTTGTAGCGGGGATATGTGAACATGAGATCATATACATACATCTAACACTTAAAGAATATGCATCATTTTTAGGAATGCATGGGACTTTTGCAAACCACAAAGAAAGGAATACTCATTAGACCCCTAAGCAAGTTTCAACAAATACCAAAGAATCAACATATCCTGCAGACCATATTCTATGAATTAAATGCAATGAAATTTAAAGTTAATAATGTAGACATAAGTAAAGAAGAGACCATAGTTTAGAAACTTAAAGATACACTTCCAAAACTAAACATCATGGCCAGTTGTGGTGGTTCACACCTGTAATCCCAGCACTTTGGGAGGCTAAGTTGGACAGATCATGTGAGTTCAGAAGTTCAAGATCAGCCTGGCCAACATGGCAAAACCCTGTCTCTTAAAAAAAACAAAAAAAATTAATTGGCCAGGCACGTTACCTGCCCTGGCACAGTGGCTCACACCTGTAATCCCAGCACTTTGGAAGGCTGAGGCAGGCAGATCACTAATCAAGAGATCAAGACCACCCTGACCAACAAGGTGAAACTCTGTCTCTACTAATAATACAAAAATTAGCTGGGCATGGTGGCTTGTGCCTGTACTCCCAGCTACTCAGGAGGCTGAGGCAGAGAATCACTTGAACCTGGGAGGTGGAGGTTACAGTGAGCTGAGATTGTAACACTGCCCTCCACCAGCCTGGCGACAGAATGAGACTCCATCTGAAAACAGCAACAACAACATACACACACACACACACACAAAATTAGCCAGGCATGGTGGCATACACCTATAGTCCCAGCTACTCTGAACCTGAGGTGGGAGGATCACCTGAGCCCATGAAGGTGAGGCTACAGTGAGCTGAGATCGCACTATTGCACTCCATCCTTGGCGACAGAGCTAGACCCTGTCTCAAAACAAATAAAACATCATGACTGGAAATAGAAAACATCCCTAAATCACAATGAAAACAATATTAAAACTTATGCGATGCAGCCAAAATCGCTTAAAGGGAAATTTATGGCTTTAAATGTATATAGTAGGAAAAAAAACATTTAAAATTAATGATCTAAACATTCATATCAAGAAAACTAGAAACGATAATAGAGGCCAGGTGCGTTAGCTCACACCTGTAATCCCAGCACTGTGGGAGGCCGAGGCAGGCAGATCACTTAAGACCAGGAGTTCAAGACCAGCCTGGCCAACGTGGTGAAACCCCATCTCTACTAAAACTACAAAAAAATTAGCCAGGCATGGTGGCACACACCTGTAGTCCCAGTGACTCAGGAGACTGAAGCATAAGAATCACTTGAACCCGGGAGGCAGAGGTTGCAGTGAGCTGAGATCTTCCCACTGCACTCCAGCCTGGGCAACAGAGCAAGATTGTCTCAAAAAAAAAAAAAAAGGAAAAGTAAACAAATTAGAGGAAAAGGAATCCCAACATTTAGGACAAACTATGCTCTTCTGAGATGGCCCGGCGGGAGCCTGTATCTGGGAGCTGGCACACTGGCCCCCGCTGAGACACACTCACCTGTGTGTAGTGGGTGCAGGTGGCATTGTGGGCACACTCCCCTGCTGCGTGGCTGTACTGCTGCCCCTCTGCGAACCACAGGCTGACCACTTCAACAAAGGACACCGAGCCCTCGGGCAGCAGCTGCACATTCCAGCCCACTTGTGGGGTGTGCCATGGGGCAGATGCCAGGCTCGGGGCTGAGGTGCCACAGAGGGATGCCCTGGCTTGAGCCAGTCGGGCCAGGCTGTCACTCCAGTCCTGGGGGGCACAAACAGAGACATCTGTCGGAGGCCTTTGACCACTTGGCCAGGCCTCAAAGATTCAACTCCCCTGAGGTCTCTGAGCATCCACTGGGGGCCAGGTCATGAGGCAAAGAGAGCACTGGATGAGGAGTCCTGCTAGAGGAAGCACTGACGCTTGTGATACCTGACCAGGAGCCCAGCTCCTCTCAGGACTGAGCCTCCGTCTCCTGAGTCCTGTCCTGGGCACCTTTCGGCCCTGCCCAGGCAGTGAGATGGCTCCTGTTGTCTTTCTCCCATCTCCTCATGTGAGCAGTGCCCACACCCTACAGACTGGCTCTGTGTTTGGGCCTGGCCATTGTCAGTAAGGCTCCACTGCTCCCACCGGGCCATGCTGCCCTCCTGTGATGCAAAAAGTCCTGCAGCCGGCCAGGCACGGTGGCTCACACCTATAATCCCAGCACTTTGGGAGGCCGAGGCGAGTGGATCACAAGGTCAAGAGATCGAGACCATCCTGGCCAACATGGTGAAAACCCGTCCCTATTAAAAATACAAAAATTAGCCAGATGTGGTAGCACATTCCTGTAATCCCAGTTACTCGGGAGGCTGAGGCAGGAGAACTGCTTGAACCTGGGAGGTGGAGGTTGCAGTGAGCCAAGATGGTGCCACTGCACTCCAGCCTGGGCAACAGAACAAGACTCCATCTCAAAAAAGAAAAAGAAAAACGTCCTCCAGCTACACCTCTCTGCCCTGGTCTCCTGTCCCCCAGGAGCCAGCCTCACCTGCTCTCACCACACACAGCTGCCCCCTGCCCCCTCCGTCGTCTTTATCTTTTTTTGAGATGAAGTCTCTCTCTGTTGCCCAGGCTGGAGTATAGTAGAGTGATCTCAGCTCATTGCAACCTCCACCTCCCAGGTTCAAGTGATTCTCCTGCCTCAGTTTCCCAAGTATCTGGGATTATAGGCACGTGACACCACATCCGATTTTTGTTTTTTGGGTTTTTTTTGACGGAGTCTCACTCTGTCGCCCAGCCTGGAGTACAATGATGTGATCTCAGCTCACTGCAACCTCCACCTCCTGGGTTCAACTGATTTTCCTGCCTTAGCCTCCTGAGTATCTGGGATTACAGGCATGCATTGCCATGCCCAGCTTTTTTTAAATATTTTTAGTAGAGATAGGGTTTTATCATGTTGACCAGGCTGGTCTTGAACTCCTGACCTCAGGTGATCTGCTTGTTTCAGCCTCCCAACGTGCTGGGAACAACAGGCACGAGCCACCTCGCCCAGCCCCATCCCTCTTCTTAAACAAGGGACCTGGCAATTGCCACCCCTGGGTGACCTGCCGCAGTCCCCTAACCTCCCCAGACTCCTACAGCTCGTCTGTAAATGGAGCAGAGAGGTGCCTGCAGGATGGGACTCTTAAGCACTGAGTGGATGCAGGGAGGGAGGAGCCCCTCGGGCTGCACCACCGCCAACTGGCCCTGCACTAATGGCCATCGGGATTTTACCTCTGACAAAGGCGTGGGCCAGGGGCTGGAGGCTCCCTGGGATCCCTCAGCAGCCCCACACCTCCAAAAGACCTTCAGTCTCCACTGTGTACAAAGGGGTTCCCCAGAGTCCTAAAGGCCTGGAGAGGTACTCGAGGCCAGACCACGAGGGAGGCTGAGCCATGGGGCTCTACTTGTACCTTTATGGAAATGAAGTTTTCTAGGACTTTGACAAAATGGCCCTGGAAATGGTGCCAACTGCCAGCCAGCGACTGCTGCAGCCTGGGCTCCTAGGCAGGAGCACCCACCCTGGAAGTCACAGCTGGGAGCAGCCCTGGCTCCTAGGTCTGAGGCTGAGGAGGGGCAGAGTTGCTCAGGGCAGGGAAAAGGGGGAGAATCGACTCCCCCACTTAGCCACTCCACCCCCACCTCCTGGGAAACTGACTGTGGAGTGCTCAAGGTCACCACCGTGGCTGCCAGCCTCGGAGAAGTTCATGGGAAGCAGCCATGGGGAACCCTCCCACCCCCACCGCCCTCCATGGCTCCCTAGCCTGCTTACAGGGGCTGGGGCTGCTAGGTCCCAGACAATGGCGGGGGGGCAGCATTTCTGAGCCCCCAGATGACAGCCCCAACCCTGAAGCCCCAGCCATGCTGGTGAACATTATACCTCCGATCCCCGGCTCTTGCTGAAAATGTGGACAAGTGAAGGGGCAGAGAACATGGGCAAGGCCCGTCCTAGTGGCCCAGACTAACTCAGGCGGCACTGGGTCCCTGCTGCACAGAAGCCCCTCCCCAGCCCAGCAGGACCTTCTCCCTCCCTGGCCTTCGGGGCTCCTTATGAAGTTCGCCTTCCCTGGAGGAGGGGATCTGGCTCCTCCTGTGGATCCTGGTCTCCGTGGCAACAAGATGCCCAGGAAGGCCCAAGGTCCTGCCCTTCAGGCAAGGGAGCTGTGGGGCCCGACCTCCTGAACTAAGGGTGGGGTATTAAGAAGCTGCAGAGACCCCCAGCAACCAGGGCCTCGGTCCTCCAGGGGGGTAAGGAGCCCGGCTGTGCCTGCCCACCCTGGTCAGGTAGAAGGGCTCCTGGACAAGCATGGCCTCCTGATCTGCCCTCTGGGGACCATGCCTCCGGCCACCCCCCTAACTGAGCCCAGCTGGGTCGGGTACTCACCAGCCTCCGCATGTCAGCTGCAGGGGGCTGGACCCGGCTGCGTAGACGGTTGTGCAGGGAGAGGAGCAAGAAACTCTCCTTCCTATTCAGGGCTGGGGTGGGGAGGGATGGTCAGGCTGCCCGAGGATGGCGGGGACCTGGACCCAATGCTTTGCTAAAAAAGCACGCATCCCCGCCCTTGGAAAACAAGATGGGAGAGGAGTGTGGTGGGTATGGGACACAGGAGCATAGCGATGGAGGGAGGCTGACAGAGAGACCAGGTAACAGCAGGTGTGGGCCAGGGTGGCGGGATGGAATGGAGTGGGGAGCTGGGTGTAAGGGGCAGCCCTGGCTCCCAGCAGGCCCCTGTCTGGGCTCCTCTGGGCCACTGGTTTTCTCCAGGCTCCCGCCACAGCCTCCCTCGGCTGTTCTCCCTTGACCCCAGCCCTGGCCCCCTTCCTCCTCCTTCCTCCCCAGTCCAGCATCCACCCCTTACCACCCAGGACTGTCCCAGGGCTCCGACATCAAACCACCAGCACAGCCTGGGCTCAAGCCTGGGACCGGGTTTCCAGAAGTCTCCCAGCACCCGCTCCACAGAGCTCTCGCTGGTGCCTCTGCCTCTTCCTCACTAGGTGATCCTTACCTCCGGGCAGCAGAGCCTGCTCCTGCAGCTGGGGTGGCCACACCTCAGCCCAGGTGGTGACCAGGAGGGCCAGGAGCACAGGCAGGAGGCTGTGGCCAGGGGAGGGCTCCGGATGCAGCATGGGTCTTTTGGGCCTGTCAGGCGCTTTGAGCACAGCCTGGCTTAGCCTCCTGGCTTCTTTCTCAGGCTGGATGAAGCTATTCACAATCTCCAGGAGTCAGGCTGGGCTGGTGGACAAAAGAGGGGGGCTGGTGAGTGAGTAATCAGTGTGTCCAAACAGCCTCCCCTTGGCACTGGCATGAAAAGTGACAGCTCTGGGGGATGCCTGCCTGGCCTGGCCTTGCCTGGCCAGCCCACCCCCGACAGCAGGAAGAGCAGTGTGCACTGACCCTGAGGCCCCTGCTAATCATGGCAGGATTATTAGCGCCCTTGGGGAGCCCCCCGAGACCCCACTGATTGGCCCTTGGACATTCCAGGGCTGCAGATTAGTGACCGATGGCCGTGTCCTGGCTGGGATGGTGCCCTCCGAGCCCACTGATGGCTTCCACTCCCCAGCCCCAGGCTCTGGGAGGAGGCTAGGACCTCGGCTCTGGTCCTTCTGGTGAGCAGGAACTGGACAAGACCCCAGGGGAGTTCTTTACTTTCTTGGGAAGCTTGGCCCAACCCCCGAGCCATGAATTAAACATAGGCAAGAGGTAACTGCACACCAGAGAGGTGCAAGCTGTGGGCTTGGGCGGGGGGTGAGGTGTGGGCTGGGGCTGCACCTCTGGGAGGGAAAGGGTGCCTTCGGAATGTCTGTCTGGGCAGCGTCGGGGGCTGGGCCCAGCCCCAGTGCCCACCACTGTCACTCACGTGAAGGGCCAGGAGGGAGTGAGGCAGGAGGAGGCAGGGCAGGCGGGGACGAGAGCACGTGGTGCCCTTGGCTAACTCTGGTCCTGCTGGGATCCAGTCTGCCTCTAGACAAACAGGGGGCGGAGCAGGAGGGCAGCCCATTGCCATGATGTTCTGTGGCCCGGCTGTGGCCGGCATGACCCCACCAGAGTGCAGTGGAGTGGATCTGCACCTTGGGCCACATTTCTCAGAAAATACACGGCTGTCCTGCAGGCCATGGCCTGATGCCATGTTCCTCTTGGGGCAGATCAAAGGTTATTCAACCATGCCAAAGGACAGACAGCCTTGCAAACCAACTACATCCTCCTTCTGGAGTTTGTGAGACCCCTGACCCTCAAGCCCGTACACTCTCAGAGCGGGGTTCCAACTCCGTGGAAGCTCTGCTGAGATGCAGGTGGGCTTGGCTTTCCTAGCGAAACATCAGTGGAATGTGGATATCGTCATGGGTGCCAAGGATGGTCACGAGCCCAGGCACACAGGCCATGAAGCGACCTGGACCTACATGTCTCCCACAGTACCTAGGGGTTCAGGAGTTTCTTCTTTCTAGACAGAACCCAGCATCCTCAGGGTCACCACATGCGGGCCCTAGCAATGCTTAATAACAGCTACCTGGTTTTTGGTGTTTGCTGTTTTTTTTAAAAAGAGTTTCACTCTGTCACCCAGGCTGGAGTGTTATAAACTCAGCTCATTGCAGCCTTGACCCTTGGGCTCAAGAGATGCTCCCACCTCAGTCTCCCAAGCAGCCATGATCAGGTGTGCACCAGAACACCTGGCTAATTTTTTTTTTTTTTGTAGAAACAGGGTTTTGTTGTGTTGTCCAGGCTGGTCTCCAACTCCTGGGCTCAAGTGATCTTCCCACCTTAGCCTCCCAAAGTGCTGGGATTACAGGTGTGAGCCACCACACCTGGCCAAGCCACCTGTGTTTATAGAGCCCACAAAGCCTGTTTGCATATGTGAATTCAAGTTATTGCCACAAGAACCCGCTGCAGTAGCAGATGGGACGCCCATCATGTGGATAAGGAAGTGAGCTCAGTGTGTCTAAGGTGCTTGTCCAAGGTCACTCAGCAAGTGCATGGAACATCCCCACTAATCCAAGGTTTCTGCCTTCCATTCCCAGAGCTTTAATTCACATCCGGATCTTTCCCAGTTCACTTTCCACAGCTCTGCTGTGCTGGGTAATAAAAGACCACTTCCTGCTCTTGGGTGTCCATGGCAAATATGGCCAGGTGCTTGGGACAGGTGGGAGGAAATATATTTTGGGGATTAGAGTGGAGCAACTTTTGAAGGGTCCCATGGCCCTGGCTCAGTCCAAGAAGAGTCCCAGGCCAGGCATGGTGGCTCAGGCCTATAATCTCAGCACTCTGGGAGGCGAAGGCGGGAGGATTACTTGAGGTCAGGAGTTCGAGACCAGCCTGGCCAACATGGTGAAACCCTGTCTCTATTAAAAATACAAAAAATTAGCTGGGTGTGGTGGCGGGTGCCTGTAGTCCCAGCTACTCAGGAGGCTGAGGCAGGAGAACTGCTTGAATCTGGGAGGTGGAGATTGCAGTGAGCCAAAATGGCAACACTGCATTCCAGCCTGGGCGAGAGAGGGAGACTCTGTCCCTGCAAAAAAAAAAAAAAAAAAAAAAAAAAAGCCCTAAGAGAGCTGGATTCATGAACCAGAAGAGAAGCTGAGTGGATAAAAGATTAACAAGACACTGGAAGGCACAGTCTGGAACCAACACACTGTGTGGCCCTGAGAATGACACTCCCACCCCTGAGACTCGGTATCCAATGGTGAAGAGCTGGGACAGCCCCTCTGCTGGGCCTGTAACCCGGGCATTGCAACTTGGTTTCCATGGTATTTCCTACTGGGTCTAGACATTTTGTTTTTTTTGAGACAGAGTCTCACTCTGTCACCCAGGCTGGAGTGCAGCCGTGAGATCTTGGCACACTGCAACCTCCGCCTCCCAGGTTCAAGCGATTTTCCTGCCTCAGTCTACCGAGTAGCTTGGGCTACAGGTGTGTGCCACCACGTCTGGCTAATTTTTGCATATATATATATATATATATATATATATATATATATATTTTAGTAGAGACAGTGTTTCACTGTGTTAGCCAGGATGGTCTTTATCTCCTCACCTTGTGATCCCGCTGCCTCAGCCTCCCAAAGTGCTGGGATTACAGGCAGGAGCCACCGTACCTGGCTGGGTCTAGACTTTTTACTGGTGTCTGCTCATTGGCTGGGGTGGGTGGAGAATGGGCAGCCTCATTCTTGCAAGGCAACTTTTCCCAGGTGAGGCTAGTGCAGGGTTTACATCTACCACCCAGGTTGTAGGGTTCACGTTTTGCTGTATTTTCTTTATCATCTGTGCCTCTATCTATTCCACCCCGGTCCAGCTCATGCAGAGCTGGTACCTCTTTTCTCAGTCTGCATTTGAAGGCTATACTGTTCAAGCCATTTTCTCTCTTCCTGAAGCAGCTCCTTTCTTTAAAGCCATGAAATCTTGTTGATGGTCTCCGAAAAATAAAATACATTCAACTCTAGGAGAGTCATGGCCACATATTCTTCTAAAAATTGCATGTCCAGGCATCCAGGCCAGGCATGGGAGCTCAGACCTATAATCCCAGCACTTTGGGAGGCCAAGGTGGGAGGACTGCTTGAGCTCAGGAGTTTGAGACCAGCCTGGGCAGCATAGTGAAACCCCGTCTCTAAAAAAAATACAGGAAATTAGCTGGGCGTGGTAGCATATGTCCACAGTCCCACCTACCTGGGAGGCTGAGGTGGGAGGACAGCCTGAGTCTGGGAGGTCGAGGCTGCAGTGAGCTGTGATCGTGCCACTACATTCCAGCCTGGGTGACAGAGCAAGATTCTGTATCAAGAAAAAAAAAAATTAGGGCCAGGTGCAGTGGCTCACGCCTGTAATCCCAGGACTTTGGGAGGCTGAGGTGGGCAGATCACCAGAGGTCAGAAGTTTGAGACCAGCCCTGGCCAATGTGTCGAAATCCTGTCTCTACTCAAGATACAAAAGTTAAGTGGATATCATGGCACCTGCCTGTAATGCCAGCTACTTGGGAGGCTGAGGCATGAGAGTCACTTGAGCCCAGGAGACAGAAGTTGCAGTGAGCTGAGATTGCTCCACAGCACTCCAGCCTCGAGTCTCATTCAACAGAATGAGACTCTGTCTCAAAAGAAAAAAAATTATAAGTCTATTTAATTTTTTAATTTTTCTTGAGACAAAGTCTGGCTCTGTTAATCTAGGTTCACTGCAACCTGTGCTTCCAGGCCTTTGACCTCCACATCCCAGGCTCAAGCCATCCTCCTACCTCAGCCTCCTGAGTAGCTGGACTATGGGTGTGCACCATCACGTCCAGCTAATTTTTACATTTTTCGTAGAGAGGGGAGTTTCACCATGTTGCCCAGGCTGCTCTTAGAGCTGAAGCCATCTGCTGGGATTATAGGCATGGGGCACCACACCGAGCTCCAAATTAATATGCTGAAGTCCTAACTCCAATACCTCTGTGTCTCTGGATTTAGAGACAGGGTCTTCAAAGAGGTAATTAAAGTTAAATGAGGTCATTGGGGTGGGTCCCGATTCAATATGACTAGTCTCCTTATACAAAGAGACACACAGAGAGAAGATCCTATGAAGACACAGCGAGAAAGCAGCTGTAAACAAGCCAAGAAGAGAGGTCCTCAGAGGAAACCAACCTCCCCACCCCCAACACCTTGATCTTGGCCTGTAAGCTTCCAGAACTCTGAGAAAATACATTTCTGTTGTTTAAGCCACCCAGTGTGTGGTATTTTGTATGGCAGCCCTAGCAAATGAATATAGCCCTTATGAAAAACATATAGCTGCCCGGCACCATGGTTAACGCCAATAATCCCAGCATTTGGGAGGCCGAGGTGTGCAGATCACCTGAGGTTGAGAGTTTGAGACCAGACTGACCAACATGCAGAAACCCTATCTTTACTAAAAATACAAAATTAGCTGGGTGTGGTGGCGCATGCCTGTAAACTCAGCTACTCGCGAGGCTGAGGCAGGAGAATCACTTGAACCCGGGAGACAGAGGAGGCGGTGAGCTGAGATCGCACCACTCCACTCCAGCCTGGGCAACAATAGCTAAACTTCATCTTTTTTTTTTTTTTTTCTGAGACTGAGTTTCACTCTTGTTACCCAGGCTGGAGTGCAATGGCGCAATCTCGGCTCACCGAAACCTCCGCCTCCTGGGTTCAGGCAATTCTCCTGCCTCAGCCTCCTGAGTAGCTGGGATTACAGGCACGCGCCACCATGCCCAGCTAATTTTTTTGTATTTTTAGTAGAGACGGGGTTTCACCATGTTGACCAGGATGGTCTCGATCTCTTGACCTCGTGATCCACCTGCCTTGGCCTCCCAAAGTGCTGGGATTACAGGCTTGAGCCACCGCGCCAGCCTAAACTCCATCTTAGAAAGAAAAACGTAAAGCTAACATCATACTTAACAGTGAGACTAAAGACTTTCTCCCTAAGATCAGAAACAAGACAAGGGTGTCTTTTCTTCCCAGTCCCATGAAACATTGTTGAATGTGCAATTTGTGCAATAAGGTAAGAAAAATCACTAAAGGCATCCCTACTGAAAAGAAAGAAGTAAAACGATCTTCATTTGCAGATGACATAATTCTCCTATAGAAGACCTGAAGGAATGTTAAAAAAAAAAAAAAAAAAACCCCGACTAGAATAAAGGTCCCAGAAAACAAAATTAACATACCAAAATCCACTGCATTTGTATAAACTGGCAATAAAGAATATGAAAATGAAACTGAGAAAAGAGTTTCACACATGGCCGGGAACTGTGGCTAACATCTGTAATCACAGTACTTTGAGAGACCGAGGCAGAGGGATTGCTTAAGGTCAGCAGTTCGAGATCAGCCTGGCCAACATAGTGAAACCCTATCTCTACTAAAAATACAAAGAATTAGCCAGGCGTGGTAGTGGTGGACAACTGTAATCCCAGCTACTCTACTGGAGAGGCCGAGGCAGGAGAATTGCTTGAACTTGAGAGGCAGAGGTTACAGTGAGCCAAGATTGCACCACTGCACTCCAGACTAGGCAACAGAGCAACGCTCTGTCTCAAAAAAAAAAAAAAAAATTGATACACATAAAACTATAAAACAACATTGCTAAGAGAAATTAAAATGCAGAGACATTTCACATTCATGGATTGGAAGACTCAACAGGTTTTTTTGTTTGTTTTTTGAGGCTGAGTCTCACTCTGTAATCCAGGCTGGAGTCTAGTGGCGCAATCTCTGCCTACTGCAACCTCTGCCTCCTGGGTTCAAGTGATTCTCCTGCCTCAGCCTCCCACATAGCTGAGATTACAGGCATGCACCACCATGCCCAGCTAATTTTTGTAGTTTTAGTAGAGCCGGATTTCACCACACTGGCCAGGGGAAGACTCAATATTGTTAAGATAGATGGTAATTCTCCCCAAATTTGTCTATTAATTCAATGCAATGCCTATCAAACTTCCAAAGAATGTTTGTTGTTTTGTTTATCTTAAAGCGATTGAGGGTGCAGGTGTTGTGGCATGAGCCTGTAATCCCAGCTATTTGAGAGGCTGAGGCAGGAGGATTCCTTGAGCCTAGGAGTTTGAGACCAGCCTGGGCAATATAGGAAGACCTATCTCAAAAAAAATTGAGAATTGGATCTTAAAATTTTCATGGAAAAGCAAAGGAGTTAGAATAACCAAAACACGTCCAAAAAAAAAATAAAATTGGAGAATGTATACTCCCTGGTTTCCAAACTTGCTATGAAACTTCTAGTAATCACATCTATAAGATATGGAAAAAGGATAGACATATAGATCAAGGGAACAGAATGAACAATACGGAAAAAAATTAAAATTTATGGCCATTTTAGTTTTGAGGGTCTCAGTTTGTCACCCAGGCTGAAGTGCAGTGGTGCCATAATTGCTCAGAATAGCCTCAACCTTTGGACTCAAGCCATCCTCATGCCTCAGCCTCCTGAGCAGTGAGGACTACAGGCATGTGCTACCACACCCAGCTACTTATTTTTTTCCTTTCAGCCAGGGGCTCACTCTGTCACTCAGGCTGGAGTGCAGTAGCATGCTCACAGATCCTGGGTTCAGGTGATCCTCCCACCTCAGCCTCCCAGGTAGTTGGGACTATGGGCACACACCACCATGCCTAACTAATTTTTTGTAGAGATGGGATCTTGCCATGTTGTCTAGGCAGGTCTCAGAAACTCCTGGGCTCAAGCGATCCTCCTGCCTTGGCCTCCCAAAGCGCTGGGATTACAGTCTTGAGCCACCACGCCCAGCCATTTTCTTTCCTTTTTTTAGATAGGCTCGCACTATGTTGCCCAGGCTGGAGTGCAGTGGCTATTCATAGGTGCAATCATAGTGCACTGCAACCCTGAACTGCTGGTCAGCTGCCACTTCTTAAAATGTTTCTCTGTCCCTTTCTCTGGTTCTGGGACTACTGTTGTGCATGGGGACTGTGTTTTGTCAGTGCCTAAGTCCTGCAGGACTTGCTGTCACTCAGACTCTCCCATACCAAGACTCTCCTACACTTCAGTTTCAAAAGCTGGTAGTAAGGAAAAGAATGTGCCAAAAGCTGAAGTTCTGCTGTGATGAGATGGCCCAAGCTCCCCTGTATCTATATCAAGGGATCTGGATGGCTTAGCTCTTTTTTTTTTTCTTTTTTTGAGACAGAGTCTCACTCTGTTGACCAGGCTGGAGTGCAGTGGTGCAATCTTGGCTCACTGCAAACTCCACCTCCTGGGTTCAAGTGATTCTCCTGCTTCAGCCTCCCATGTAGCTAGGATGATAGATGTGCACCGCCACACTTGGCTATTTTTGTATTTTTAGTAGAGATGGGGTTTCACCATGTTGGCCAGGCTGGTATTGAACTCCTCACCTCAAGTGATCTGTCCGCCTTGGATTCCCAAAGTGCTAGAATTATAGGCGTGAGCCACTGTGCCCAGTCTGGATGACTTCGCTCTTTAAGGCTTACAGAAGTTGGTACCTTGTGGAAATGGGCTGGGATGGTCTGGATGCCAGGTATTCTTCTGAGGTTGCTGTTCTCATAATTGCTATATTCAAGTATGTCACCCAATTGAGATGAAATGCGTAGAGCACAGCAGCAGAGTGGGACCAGCTGGGCTGAGGAGGAAATTAGGTACATTTTTATTTTCTTTTTTCTGAGACAGTGTCTCACTCTGTCACCCAGGCTGGAGTGCAGTAACCCTATCTAGGCTCACTGCAACCTCTGCCTCCCAGGTCCAAGCAATTTTCCTGCCTCGGCCTCCTGAGTAGCTGGGATTAAAGGTGTGTGCCACCACGCCCAGCTAATTTTCGTATTTTTAGTAGAGACCAGGTTTCACCATGTTGGTCAGGCTGATCTTGAACTCCTGACCTTAGGTGATTTGCCCGCCTTAGCCTCCCAAAGTGCTGGGACTACAGGACTGAGCCACCATGTCTTGACCAGTCTTGGTCAAGTATTTTATAGTTGAGTTTCATAACAGCCCTATAAAGTAGTCATCACTGTCAATTCTACAAACAAGTAAACGGAGGCCTAGGACGGGTAACCTCCCAAGATCATACACCAAGGAAGAGGAAAGGCTGGCATTCAGGCCCAGGCCAGTAAACCTAAACCCCAAATGCCCTTAACCTACCACAACAATCTGGGATTCTGAGGTGCTTGAGTCAGCTGATACCCCAGATCTAAGCATCTGAAGGTCCCTAATTGTGGAGACTTTCATGAGAACGAGCTGCTGGAGGGTAAGCACACATCACTCCTCCAGGCTGTACTAAAGGAGCCTCATCTTAGTCCCCCTATGCCATGGAGGCCACGCTGGGTGATCACCCTGGGGAGGGAGATGTGTAGCTTTACTTGGTGCTAATGCGTCTGGGCAAGGCGTTCTCCACTTGAGCAGCTGTATGAATCCCAGAGGCTCAAATCATGCGCCACAGCACCACCTACTGGCCGGCGAACAACATAGTCATGTTGTAAAGTTGGCAAACAACCATTTACAAATTTTCAAACATTTAAAATCCTTAAATCTCAAAATACATTTTTTTTTTTTTTTTGAGATGGAGTCTTGCTCTGTCGCCAGGCTGGGGTGCAGTGGCGCAATCTCGGCTCACTGCAACCTCCGCCTCCTGGGGTTCAAGCAATTCTTCCGCCTCAGCCTCCCGAGTAGCTGGGACCACAGGCGCAATGTCAACACGCCCGGCTAATTTTTGTATTTTTTTTTTTTTTGAGACGGAGTTTCGCTCTTGTTACCCAGGCTGGAGTGCAATGGCGCGATCTCGGCTCACTGAAACCTCAGCCACCTGGGTTCAGGCAATTCTCCTGCCTCAGCCTCCCGAGTAGCTGGGCTTACAGGCACGCGCCACCATGCCCAGCTAATTTTTTGTATTTTTAGTAGAGACGGGGTTTCACCATGTTGACCAGGATGGTCTCGATCTCTTGACCTCATGATGCGCACACCTCAGCTTCCCAAAGTGCTGGGATTACAGGCTTAAAAGACATTTTTAAGATTTTGCCTCCCACTTTTCTCCATTCATTTAATCATCTGTTAACCGCCAAGCACCATGTGAGGTGTTGGAGTCTGGGAAGTCGAGTCCTTCTCAGAGGGATTTACAGAACCAGCAGGGCAGAGAACCAAACCAAGACAGAAACAGGCACGTGGGGACCCCAAAAGGGGCCATTTTATTGGAGAAGGAAAGGCTCCACTGCGGGATGGTGGTCTGGGGCTGAGCTTTTAAAAGACAGAAGGGGCTCATGCCTGTGATCCTGGCACTTTGGGAGGCTGAGGTGGGTGGATCACCTGAGGTTAGGAGTTTGAGGCCAGCCTGACCAATGACCAACATGGTGAAACCCCATCTCTACTAAAAATACAAAATTAGCAGGGCATGGTGGCGCATACCTGTAGTCGCAGCTACTTGGGAGGCTAAGGCAGAACTGCTTGAATCAGGAGGCACAGGCAGCAGTGAGCCAAGATCCCGCCAATGCACTCCACTGTTAGCAACAAGAGCAAAACTCTGTCTCAATAAATAAGTAAATAAAATGAAAGACAGGAGGGCTCTTGAGGGGGTGGGGGTTCATGTGATCCTCAATTCGGGACTTTCCATAAGCACATGGAACGGCCGCCAGGAGGCACTTTGGTGAGCAAAATATGGGAGCAGGAAACATCTCAGTGTGACTAGGGAGCAGGGTGTGAGGTGAGATCCAGCTGTGGGCCAGGTGCGGTGGCTCACACGTGTAATCCCAGCACTTTGGGAGGCCAAGATGGGTGGATCCCCTAAAGTCAGAAGTGCAAGACCAGTCTGGCCAACATGGTGAAACCCCGTGTCTACTAAAAATACAAAAAATTAGCTGAGCATTCTGGCGGGCGCCTGTAATTCCACCTACTTAGGAGGCTGAGGCAGGAGAATCATTTGAACACAGGAGGTGGAAGTTGCAGTAAGCAGAGACAGTGCCATTGCACTCTAGCCTGGGCAACAAGAGTGAAATTCCATCTCAAAAATAGACAAAAAGATCCAGCCGTGGACGGGGAGAGCGCACCCAGCTGCACAATCAGCCACACCCTGGAGACCATGGCTGGCCAGGTCTAGGACTTGGACTTTCATCTCATGACAAAAGGGAGTCCGTCAAGTGTTTCAAGGCAGTGAATAAAGTGACCTGCTGTATTTTACAAAGACGACTCTGCAGAGGGAGGATGGGATGACAAGAGCAGCAGGAAAATCATTAACAGATGGTTCTCAAAGTCAGGGCTGACAACCCTCTCAACCACAACAGCGGTGGGGGATACAGAGAGGTCGGAACAGAGGAGAGGCACTGAGGAGACAGACCCTGTGAGGCTGGGTGACGAGCTGGAGGTGGAGGGAGAGGCGAGTAGGAACATCAGGTGACTCCCAGATTTCTGGTGTGGCTAACCATTCCTGAACTGGAATAGAAGAGGCTGATTTAGAAGACAAGACAAAGAGATTGTTGTAAACATGTTAATCTATGAGATTCTCAAAACTACAATTACTTAAAAAAAGCTACTCAAAAATTAGGTCTGGGCATCATGGCTCACGCCTGTAATCCTAGTACTTTGGAAGACTGAGGCAGGTGGATCACTTGAAGTCAGGAGTTTGAGACGAGCCTGGCCAACATGGTCACGCCCAACTCTACAAAAATTAGCTGGGTGTGGTGGCACATCCCTGTAATCCCAGCTACTCGAAAGGCTGAAGCAGGAGAATCGCTTGAACTTGGTAGTGGAGGTTGCAGTGAGCCGAGACTACACTACTGCACTCCCACCTGGGTGACAGAGCAAGATCCCATCTCAAAAAAAAAATAGTTGGGTGAACAGGTAAAGTCCAGGGACTAACTTGAGGATGAAAGCTGGTGTAGAAAAAGAGCACTGGCTGCTTCTCCACAGTGTGAGAACACCACTACCCCTTGCTTTCCACACAAACCTGAGTGCACAGATGCCCACGTGGAATGCCAGGCCGCAGGTTCCTCCTGTGAGGTCAGCTGCAGGCAGATGGCCAGTCGGAACTTCAGGAGAAGGAGAGATTTCCCCCACAGCCACTCCAGCACTGCAGGGAGGGTAAGATAAACACCTGCATCTTCGCTCCCGTTGCCAAATCCTTCCTTATGCTGTGATAACACTGGTAGGTATGCACACTCCTCTCCAGTGTTTATGCTTGATGGGGGCAAACACATTTAAGTCACTACAGATGAAGAACATTTCACAAGCAGCCATACCAGAGTAGTTAAAATGTCTGTTTATTCATTTATAAACCTAGTAACATGAAAAGAAACTCAATAGAACTCTCCTTGGTGGAGACACAGTGCACAGTGTTAGTGCCACATTCACAGGGGCAGAAATGCTCGGTCATCCTGTGCATCCAAAGTCACCCAGGATCTCCAGAAAAGATCCCACTTACTGAAGTGCCTTGGATGTCTTCAGGGCCACACTGAAACTACACAGGAACAGAGAAGGGCTGAGCTGAAGTGCACACTGACAAACACAAATGATGAGTCACAGGACTCTACAGTAATTACAATGGCGTTTTTATATATCCCGAGTGTTGACTGGAGAGTAAAGTGTTAACTGAGCTGCTAGAAAACCCTTTACTGAAAGAGCTTTCTACCCCACGCCCATTGTTCTGAGGACAGAGAGGCTATGTCAGGTGGATGGGAACCCACACACTGAGATGAACTTTTCTTTCTCTTTCTTCCAATCTGCACCCACCATCTGCCATGCTGGAGTGTAAGGCACTAGAACCTGGCTTAGAGAAGAGTGGGGCTCTAAGCTCCAGTTCTTGGTGTGCAAAGGAAATCCTGACATAGATCTTTTGAAAGAGATGCTAAAAAATCCTACCTCCTGTAATTTCTGCCTTCGACAGACAGGAAAACAGGAAGGCAGAAGATGGGTTGCAAAGGATGAAAAAGGGTGCATCTAAGAATGAGAAAAACGGCCCATGAAGAAATGTGTACCTCTCCAAGAGATACAGACACTCTGCTCGGAGAAGTCAAGAATCATAAACAACTCTTGTCATGGACAAAGGGAAGGCAAAGGCATACAAAAACACTCATTGTCCTGAAAAAGAGTGTACTGGTAGTGATGAGAGCTGCAAAGGTTAGCCCTACTGAAAATGGAGGAGCCTTACAACTCAGCACCTTAAAGCGGAGGCCCAAAGTGGTGGTGGGGAGGGAGGCGCTGACAGACCGACCCACAGCTCACTCACCATTTACTTCGTGTACACAGGGCCTGGGTCAAGCCCCATACATCTACCATTTCTTCCACTCAACTGTGCGTCTCCTGAATCCACGTGCCTGAAATGACACGTGCAAGGTGAACATTCTTTATATTGTGTTGACAAAATACTGCTTTTATCAATGTTTGTGAGGGATGGGTCAGGGCTAGCATGCAGAAGGAAAATTAGAATGGCAGAGGGTTATTATTCATTATTAACCACTGTTGATCAAACCTCTTTTTTTTTTTTGAGACAGTCTCACTCTGTCACCTAGGCTGGAGCACAGTGGTACAATCTCAGCTCACTGCAACCTCCATCTCATGGGTTCAAGTGATTTTCCCATCTTGCTCGGCCTCCCAAAGTGCTGGGATTAGAGGCATGAGCGACCACGCCCAGCCAACCAAACCTGTCTTAGATATTTAAGATCCTTATTGACTACACTGGCCAAAAAACCACAGACATAAAAATGAACCTTGTAGCTAACTCCTGAAAGCAAGCCAATGCAAACTGCTCCACCAGGCCAGTCTTCTAGGGCCGATACAGAGACTGTGAGTCACAGAAGATTCCTTCTATTTCAGGTTCTCAAAAGTGGTGTAGACTAGCCAAATGCCAGCAAATGTGTCCATACACCAGAGGAGAAGCAAAGCCAGAAATGAAGGTTATGGGTCCTGTCTCCAGTGAAGCACTGAACACTCTCAGAAAGCTCCTGTCACTCTTGCACCACTACTGTCACCAAGATGGTGGGAAGGGAGGTGGCTAACTTTCAAATGCATGCAAAGACAGGTGGCATACTGTGGAAGCTGGAGATTTACTTTTCCTATGTTTTACTTTCTTGGAAACAATTCAGGAAACAAGCAAGCAGGTAAAACTCCTGGTGTGCAAGAGGAGAGATCCAGGGCCGGCGTGCCTCCCAATGAGAACCAAACAGGAGTGGCTGGGCTCCACTCCTGGGGCCAGAGAAAACAGGAGTTTAATCACTGAGCTACACAGTCTCTGTGTCCCTGGCCTAAATGAGAGCTATTGAATGTGGGGGGACAGGGCCCCCTGGAAGAGCGTGAAAAATACAGTGGTCATTGTGCAGTTCTCTCTCCTGGAGTGTGGTCCAGCTCAGCAGTTAGTGTTTGTCCCTTTTTGCTCTTCAGAGTTCCTGAATGAAAGCTTTTCTGGCTTCAGTACCAAGGATCACAGAAGGATCATCTTCCTGATGCAAGCTTAGATGGAAGTCAATGACACCGGCAGTGCTAAGAACAGGAATCACACATGGCCTGCCAATGAAGGGGAGGTAATTAAGGATATTTCAGGGGAGGGAAAGGCCCACAGAAAACTGGCAACCCTGGGTCTCCATCTGTTTGAGGCCAATACACTTTGTGTTCCCAGGTTCAGAGGGCATATACTAACAAGAGAAGGCAGAGTCCATTCCCCATGGTGAGCACAAAATGCTATGAAAAGTAATTGCAGAGAGAAAAAAAGCACCCAACTCCGTAACGCCAAGTCCAGCCACCCATTCACAAGAGTCCAGAATCCTTCAAATCTCCAGGGACAGAAGACTAACAGGCTCCCCAGAATGAGATGACACACAAGGCAAACCCTTGGAAATGACACAGATGAGGAGGCTGTGGTTGTTCCTCCTAATCCTGCTAGATTTGCAGCTGTGCCTCAGGACTGGAGCATCTACTAGCCTCCCCTGTTCACTCAGACTGCCTCTGAGGAGTCCAGAAAGCTCTGTCACCTGATACCAGTGATCGGGAAGTTATGCTGCTCTCTCCTCTTGACCAGCTAATATGCTTGGATACCAGATGGAGGCAAAGCAATTATGCCAGAAGCAGGGAAAAGTCATTCATTGACTGTCAGATCTGTTGGTTCAAAGAGCTCACATTAGACCAATTACAGAAAACCACCAGACTTGAACAGCCTATATCTGAATGAACCAGGAGAGACTTGAAGGATGAACTTAAAGTGCTAGAAGAGAAATCTATACGTTTGGGGCACTCAATAAACAAGCGATGTCCTAGAAGACCCACACCCTGTTAGTCTTAGGAATATGACCCTATTCATGGACAAGGTGTTTCAATGGACAGCCTGAGTGCTCACCCACCCCATCTTCCTCTCCTAGCAAGACAAGCAGTCTGTTGCTTAGAGGGGGAAACTATGACGTCATTTAACAGGAGGCCAGGACTTCTGGTTCTAGTTCAACAAAGTCAATGCATAATTTTGGACACAGCATCAGATTTTCTGACTTCTTAGAAAGAACAGCTAATTAAAAACATGTCAATCTCTAGTAGTTACTTGGAGATTAACAACAGCAGAAGAGAATACAAGTCTTAAAACCCTATGTGGGATACACTTCTGATGAAACTTCTACTTGAATAATATACCGTGATGATGGCACTATTTGATTTTAAACTATGGAGACAGCTTTTATTCAATTTGGATCCTGGTAAGTGCTATGTTAACAGTTAAAGTCCAAATGTATCGCCATAGTTAAGGTTGAAGAGTTAAGTCTATGTGTAACCAAATCCTTCTCGATCCAATTACAAATACATTTCCCTTTACAAAGATGACTCTGGAGGGTGCAAGGGCTACATTTGGAAGAGCAGGGATGCCTGCAGCTCTAAGTCACCTGTTGGCATGTTTGTAGTTAGTCTGCTTCCTGCTGGTAATGACTGACTGCATTGACCAAAGGCCTATTCCTCTCCTAAGGCCTTCACTGCTGCTGTTCACTGGTTGGCCCTCCAGCCGGCAACACCCCTCCTGCTCTCTCCTGTCTGCCTAGAGGCAGAATCTCTCGGCTATTTAAGTACACACTTGCTCCAAGGTAACTGAGCCCCCAAACAGAATCTAATCACAAGCTCCTTTAATAAGCCAACTAGAACCCTCCAAAAAGGTGGACACTAAAGTCAGTAATCAGTAGAAGTGGTCTAGCTGGGGAAATGGCAAGAAGTGTCTAGAAGGAGCCAGAGTGAGTAAGTGGGTAAACAGAGATCCCAAAAGAAACTCGAGAAGGCAGACACCTGAGGATTTTATGCTACTCTAATGAAATGGAAGATCTCCCTTAATACACTTATAGACCTATCAGAGCTAATGCTTCCAAGATCCCAAGACATCAAAAGCTAGAGTTTTAACTAAAATCTCTTATAGCAGTTTGTCTGCACTTAAACAAGTCAGATTACGGCAGTTTATATGCAAGGGTAAAATGAAGTGTTGAAGCTGGATAGCAGTCCATGATATCTAAGTTTCACCTTGGGAAAACAGAGACAGTCCCTGAAAGAATGCAGGGCACTCCTGGGCATCCAAGTCATTTTCTACTCCAGAGGATATGGAGAAATGGCTGGAGGGAAAGCAGGAAAAGTGGTCTCTAGCCTTATGCAATGTACACCCCTCGGACTTAGAACTCTCAGTGGACTAATGTGGGTCACTTCTGTGTGGCTCTGCTGTGCTGGAGGAAGTCAAACCTGGAATTCTGGAAGCTCTGTGGAACTCCGCACGGCCAGCAAGGCTGAGGTGCTCAGGACAACACACCCGATCCCTTCCCCTCCCCATTCTAAAGGGAGAGAAGCATGACTATGGGCCAACTGAAGGGGACAGGTGAGGCTGACCTGACGTTCAAAGAGATTCTCAGGTCCCAATGAAGACAGCTCTGGGTGGAAGATTTACATCTCAAAGAGTAAGAGAAGGATGTTTTAATTGCAAGCTTTCTAAGTAATTGCTCTAAGAGGGAGTTCAGGGGCCGATATCTATTACTAAGTTTGGGCTGGGCTGGGCTGAGCAGTAAATTTTTCTGACAGCAATGAGCTTTTTCAGGCAGGCATTTTAAGAGGGGGGCTGAGGGCATCCTAGGGACAGGGCCCTAAGTTGCTAGAAGCTACACTAGGGCTTGGTTAAGGAGAGCTTTGTTACCTGGCAGCTCTTGGCAGTACCGTTTCAATGCCTTAGAACAAGAGAGTGGTGGATGGACAGTGATAATGATGGATAGTGAGAGTGATTAATAGAAAATGATTCTAATTAAAACAAGGAAAACAAAAACAGGAAGAGGAGAACCTGAACTTTGGACAGGTGAGAGAAAAGCAGCATCATTTCCATAGCAGAATGCTCAGTGTCACTGGTGGGGAACTTTCTGAGGTCAGACCCTTTTGACTGGGAGAAGCAACACACAAGGCAACAGGGTTTTTCCCTTTCAAACACTGTGGCTTACTTCTTTACTCAACTAAGAAAGAAAAAGCAACCTTATTAAAGAGATTAGCAAGAGATGAAGAAATTCATCTGTCCCAAAGGTCTGCTAACTGCTTCTACAGGGATGGAGAAGATGGTGCCAGGTTAACTGCTTGTCTCCACTCCAGAACAGAAAACGTCCACGTGATGCCTCTCATCAGTGAGGTAGATGATCGTCCTCTTGCCAGAGGTATCAAGTGCCAGCCCACAGTGCAGTGGAACAGGAGAATGAGCTGCCTGGCTGCAGGCATGTGCTGTTCCTCAAAGCTGCATCTGACACACGGCAACCCCACCAGAATAAACAGGCTGCTCCAAGAAAACAGAACCCAAGGGAGAGGGGGACTTGTGCCCCGAGGCCTATACCACCCCGGCTTGCCCTGTTTTGAGATGCAGAATTTGAAAGCAGCTGTCACCGTCACTCAGGTCCACAGTGGAGCCTGCTTCTGTTCTGCCTGTCAGACACACGTCCTGCCACCATGAGAAGCTGAATGCGGGAAGGGAAGAAGAGTCCAGAGTGAATATTAGGAGGAGGAAATAGAAGGTCAAGGGAGGCTGCAAAGCAAAAAATTTTAAAGTAGGTCAAGTTCAAAATTATATCAAGGAGGTAAGAGACAGGAGGCAAAGGAAGGTTCCTTTAAGTTTCACCTTGGGAAAACAGAGACACTCCCTGAAAGCGTGCAGGGTACTCCTGGGCACCCAAGTCATTTTCTACTCCAGAGGATATGGAGGAAAGGCTGGAGGGAAACAAAGGGCCTGAAGGGAAAGCAGGAAAAGCAGTCTCTAGCCTTATGTAATGTATACCCCTTGGAGTACGTTCCGAAGAGGAATGGAGACAGAAGGAAGAGAAGCTCCAAGGTGATGCCTGCTCCAAGACAAGATAATGGGGAGATGGGGAGGCTGCCCTGCCATCACTTCCCATG